TAATTGATAAATGCCCCCCCCCCAACCACCAATGTTCTAAACCTCTGAGGCAAACTGGTGGTTTTTGGAGCACTGGAACAGCAAGGCTTAAGAAACCACTTCTGTGTTTGGGATACAACAGAAAAGCAAAAATCAAGATCTAGGTGGGATGGGCAGGGGATGGGCAGAATCCAGACCACTGACCCTTCTGCCTTCTCCGAAGCCCCGAGGCTGAGCTTCAGTGGTGTATGATGGTTGGCTAAGGATCTGAGGGCTCTCAGACCTGAGCTCCAGCCTTCAAAGCCCCAGGGCCTGGTTCTTCGACGTCAGGCTTCCTTACTGGAGGAGGCTGTTAACCTGCTGAATGAATGTTGTCCCCAGCTCCCAAGAGAGAAGCTGATTAGGAGTGGCTGGATTTGTCACGGCAGTGTGTCATGGCTGTCTCAGACTAACTCAGAGAGATGACTGTTAATTTTTCAGGAATCCTAGGAGTTGATTGTTAAATGCATCTGTCGCTAAATATTGAATTATATAGACTGTATGAAAAACAAAGGGATTTATTCATACTCAAAATGTATCACTCCCTAATAATTTGCTTCATTCTACTCTGATCTGTGCTCTGGAGGTTATTTATACTCCCTCCATCTACACGACTGAAGTCACGGCAGGTGACTGCACACTACTTCCTAATGCCACATTCAGTGCCTCCTGTCCTTAGCCTGAAACTGGCCATGGTGGGTGTTTCCTACCATGGAAGCTGGCAAGGCTATAATGCAGGGCTCTCACAACACAACAGTGGCTGGTGAACACTTTAGTTCCCGGATAGGGGTGGAACCCAACAGGCAGCTGGCACAAGCTCCTCAGGTGATTCCAAATCCTGGGCTCTTCTTGGGACAACACTGCTGAGTGCAGATGCAGGGTGCCCAGGCTAACTCTGTGCATTCTATCCTTACTTTTATTGTCATTTAGGAGGATCCATCTAGTCTTGTTACAGTATTACACAAGTATTTGTTGAATGCATTTGAGGTACATGGCATGTGCCATAGGGGTTGTGAAGGTAACAAGATGTCTTGTCCTTATTAATGAGCTTAGCAGCATTAGCAGTGAGAGTTATTACTTAGTAGGATAAGAAATACTTTGGAAAAAAACCCCTATAGATTTCTTCCTTCCCTCCTTTTTTTTCCATTCCCCCTGCTTGCCTGCCTGCTTTCCTTCCTTCCTTCCTTCCCTTTCTTTCTTTTTCTTTCTCTTTCTTTCTTTTCTTTTTCTCTTTCTTTTTCTTTCTCTCTCTTTTTCTTTTTCTTTCTTTCTCTCTTTCTCTTTCTTTCTTTCTTTCTTCTCTCTCCCTCCCCTCCCTCCTTCCCCCTCTCCCTCTCTCCTTTTTTCCCTCCCTCCTTTCTTTCCTTTCTTCCTTCCTTTTTTTGAGAAAACACATCTTACTATGTGTTGCCTAGTCTGGCATCAAACCCCAGGGCTCCTCTTGCCTCAGTATCCAGAAGTATAGATTTTAAAAATCAAATTGAGCCTGGAAGGAAGAATCCCATTGTCTCCACTGATTTGTCAGAATGACAGTGAGGCCTGAACCTGTTAGGGAAAGGGCAGTGCTCACCATGAGCATATGCCCAGAGCCATGGAGCAAGGCAGGAAAAGGCTCTCTCTCCCTAATGTTGTCCCAGTGTCCCCTGTCACAATCAACTCTACTTCCCCATGACTCAGTGGATGTCCTTCCTGGAAGATCACACATCAAGCCAAAGGCTTTGGTTAGTGCTCAACTCAGGCATTGGTTCCTGGCCATTGCCAGAGAAGATACCAGTGGTGCTGGCCTCATGAAAGGTGTGAATTGATTGCTGATGCCTGAGGGCTTTTTAAAGGGTAATTCTAACAACGGGGGATTTGTGCCTTCCCAGTGACCTTAGAATCTAAAGCTGTCAAATGCCATTGTTTGCCTGTGCCCCTGCCCCACTGTCTCTCAATCCCTCTCTTCCTGTGCACCTGGCTGCAGTGAGTGGGGGCCTGAGCAGGTCCCTGGCTTCCTTCAGTGGCAGCCAGGCCCTGTTTGGGCTGCATGTGGCCTGTCTGTGTGGCTTTTGTATCTTGGATGCTACAAAAAAGGCCACCACTGGAGCCTTTTCCACTGCCTTTTTTCTAAAATTCAGAAAGTGTCATGGCACATCCTTGCTTACAATCCTTAAAAGGCATTTATTTACTTGTCTGTATTTTAAAATCCAGACAATTGGGTGCTAAACATTGTGCCCCTCCCAGCTTCACTCTTCCTGGGTTTTCTGGCTCTCTTTGCATGCTCATGCCTCAGAGACAGTTTTCCCCAGCTACAGCAGGAGCTGGAATGTCCGCCAAAGGCCATGTGTTTTGTTGGGCTTGGTTTCCATCCTGGTGCTACTGGGGGTGGTGGAACCTTTATGAAGTAAGGCCTGGTGGGAGGTCCTAGGTCACTGGAGAATGCCCTCAAAGGAGAGGGTTTGACCCTGGTCTCTTCCTGTCCCTTCTGCTTCCACCCATAAGGTGAGGGCTTCTCTTGCCACACCCTTCCACCATGATGTGTTGCCTTGGGACAGCCCAAAGCAATGAGCTAAATAATCAAAATGGTGACTCAACATAAACCTTTCCTCTTCTTACGTTTATTATCTCAGGCATTTTGTTATAGCAAAGGAAAGCTAACACACCTACCTATCATCTCTCAGAAGCAATCCTTTTTTTTGGTACCGGGGATTGAACTCAGGACTTTGTGCTTTTGAGGCAGGCGGCAGAACCACTGAGCTAAATCCCCAGCCAGTAACCTTTTCTTTCAAGACACCCCTCCTGAAACAGTCACTCCTTCTTTAGTGGAATACTTAACACATTGTCTTCTTATTTGGGACTATTTTGCTTGAAAACATGGCTTTGCATCCATAGTTCTAGCATTGTCACTGGAAATGCAGAAATTTGAAGATGTTGGGCTGGAGGAATGAGTCAGCAGGAGCTCCTTCTTCTACATCAGTGCTGGACTGGAAGAGCAGAACCGGGAGCTGAGCTGAACTAGCATGAGCTGGCAGTGGCAGGAGGTGGTGCCAAACCTGTCAGGGTCCACATACCCAGACAGTATGGCTGTGACCACAGTCTTGACCATGAAAACAAAACCAAGGAGAGAAAGAAAGACCATTTTTCCTATGCAGTGCTCAACATGTGTCTCCTAGAATGTAGGTTTGGTCAATGGTTTCAATAATAGGAAATCTGATTTTAAATGCTGTAAGAATTGATTTAGGAAGGTGCTAAGAGGTTACCTTGGTCCAACTCCCACCACAGCAAAGACTTCCTCCATGGAAGGTGATTATTGCCTGACGTTTAAATACCTCTGGGATGGGGAGCTGTCAACCTCACAGAGTAGCCTATTCTACTCTATTTTCAAGAAATGTTTCACTTCAATTTTAATAGTCTTCTCCCCGTTGACTTAAATGACTGCTCTCTAGATCTTTGATCATCACTACCTCTGGAAGGAAAGCTTGAGCTCACCATTATTGCATCTCCTGATGATGTGGCCCCAGTCCAATTTCCAGCCCAAGTATCTTTGTGCACACCGAAGGTCTTATTTCAGTACACTGAGGACATCAGGAAAGAATTCATCAGGTGGTAAATTCCTATTTTATTTATTTTGCAGATTGAACCTTGGGCCTCATGCATACTAGGCAAGTGCTCTACCACTGAGCTACCCCCAGCCTAGCACTTTTAAAAACATAAGATGAAGTATCATTCCCCTAACCCAATCATTATGCTTTCTTTGGCTACATCAGGGGTCAGATTCTGTCTCTGATCTGCCACATGGCAACATCATAAAAGATTTTCTCTGTTGTGGATTCACTCAGCTGCTACAATATAATGGATAGCAGTTCTGCTCACAATGTTACAACCTTTCAGCCAGAGGCTCCACTCTCTGAAGCTGCACATTCCCTTGGCCATCAGTTCTTGCCTTCTCAGTGTGGGGCCTACAAGGAGTTAGGCAATGCCAAGATGCAGCATTCCTGGGAATATGGGCATATGGCCTTTTGTGTTGGCCTGTGAGGCCCTGTATTTTCGGAGGGGCCATGTTCTGCAGTGGTGTGTTCTCAAGGTATGGCCTAACTCAAAATAAGATGAAGCCTCAAAGTTCAGCCCCATTGTGGCTATCATTCCTGTACCTGAGATTTTTGTCTTAGAACTGGCAGGAATCTTAATGCTTGGAGCTGCTCTGCCTTTGCAGCTGAAAGGACAGCTCAGCTCTGGACAAAATACCTCCCGGATAATAAGCCATCCTACTTTACTCCCATGCCTTTTCACAAGGATGGAGAAAATAGTAAAGTGAAAACTGGAACTTCTCAGGATGTTCCCATCCTCACTTCATACCTCTGGGCATCAGCCTCGGTCTTTGCATTTTAATCAACCAGTGAACCAACCTCTACCTTTCAAAGGAATCTGAAGGAAACCTTTCTGCCAAGTCCCAACTGAATCCCTGTGACACTCAAGAACATGAACCAGGCTCTTGTGTAGGTTAAGGAAGTACAAGAGAAATAAAGATTATAGGGAAACAGTCTACCTTTCTTTACAAGCCTTGTTTCGCATCCCTGACATCTCAGATTCAGCTATTACAATGAAGTCCTGTTGTAGAAAGAGCTGGCCTTTTATCACCACTTAAAATCTAATTAATCCATATTGAAGCACAAAGATTTCTGTTGTACTTTAGGGTGAGGGGTCATAGAGCCCTCTTTGTTCATCCTTAGACTTAAAATCATCAAGCATTGGGGATATAATTTTACCAAGCCAATTGGAAGGTAACAGATCAAATCCTTATCAGAAAGCCTAACTCATAGTTTTAACAGATTCCTTCGTCCTTTACAGGAAACATTATATTCAAGTGAAACAAAAACGCATTTCAGAGGGCCTAAAGAGTTAATGACCAAAGCTTATATTCCAGGCAGCATAGGACCAAAATCACACTACTGTTAACCACAAGACAGCAGGTCCTATAGGGTGAGAGTCGTGAGATTGTTGCAATGCCTTTAGTCTTTAGAACAGCAATGCTGTCGGTTGGGCTTTCATTATCTCTGCTGGGATGGGTTTTATCTATCATTACAACTTATCTGCCACACTGGAAGAACCTCAACCTGGATTTAAATGAAATGGAAAACTGGACCATGGGACTGTGGAAAACCTGCGTCATCCAGGAAGAAGTGGGGAGACAATGCAAGGACTTTGATTCCTTCCTGGCTTTGCCGGCTGAACTCAGGATCTCCCGGATTTTAATGTTTCTGTCAAATGCGCTGGGGTTTTTGGGCCTGCTGGTCTCGGGGCTTGGCCTGGACTGTCTGAGAATTGGAGAGAGACAGCAAGATCTCAAGAGGCGACTGCTAATCCTGGGAGGAATTCTGCTGTGGACCTCAGGAGTCATGGCCCTCATTCCAGTCTCTTGGGTTGCCCACATCACAGTCCAGGAGTTCTGGGATGAGAACATCCCAGAGATTGTCCCCAGGTGGGAGTTTGGGGAAGCCCTCTTTCTTGGCTGGTTTGCTGGGTTTTCTCTTATGCTAGGAGGGTGTCTGCTTCACTGTACAGCCTGCTTGGCCTCAGCTCCTAGAGCTTCGGGCCACTATGCAGTGGCAGAAATTCGACCCCAGTGTCCATACATGGAGAATGGAACTGCAGATCCTCAAGTGTAAGGGGCCAACAAGGCCAACATCATATTCTGTGTCAGCTAGGATGACGAAGAGATCTTTGTTATGTAACTAAATTTGTGCTGCTTATATTTTTTCATTCCATAACTATTTTTCTATACTAGACTCTTGCTTCCCAACTCTAGAGAACAATGAAAAAAAAATTTATGTCTAAAAGAAAACCTTATGTCAAGTATTATATAGGTATGAGTGAGAAAATATCACCGATCTGGTCATTTAGATCAACATGTGGTAGTGGCTGTTTAGTATCTTCAATCTGGAGCCTTACTGCAGTAATTTTATATGGCAAAGCTTTGTTGTTACTTGGTTGGTAGCTGGAAATGAATAATCAGTTTCTGTTTTCTAAAGACAATAACAATCTGTGTTGTACATTAATAAAAGCACGTGATAAGCCAATCTCAGTGTCATTTCCACACAACAACTCTGCTCTTCTTTGAACAGGAGAGGTTGTGTCTAAGAAACTCCTTAGTCTCCTCTTCAATTTGATGGGGTGGAACATTTTCACTACATTGTGATACTCTTCAGCTTTTAAATAAATCTCTTTTCTAAACTCTTTCCTCAAAAGCTTCATATTTAAAAATTCCGAAAATATCTTTCTCAATATCCAGATATTGTCATTTGCCAAAATGAAAGCTCTTATTCAATTAAAAATTACTATACAGAATATATACTTTAGTGGTTAACAACTAGAAATGTTAATTCTAACCTACAAATTTCTATTGCTTAATTTTCCCACAACACAGAAAGCATATTTCAGCACAGGAATAAAAATGTTTAAGCACATGTGAATGAATTTAACAGAAAGGCATGTAGATAAATGGAGTTAATATTTAGTTCGGTATTGTTTCATATGCTATGTGGTATAGGTAGCCAAGGAGATTTTTCAAAACAGGCCTGACAGAAGGTCTAGAGAGATTTCTGATAAGATTGATTTATTTGGTTAAGAAATACTTTTCTTGAACCTATTTTTTTTTAAAACATGATAACACCAGAATTATCATCACAAAATGTGTTGAAATGTGAGAACTATAACAAGATGAAAATCTGACAGGTGCAATTAGTATGATATAAAGAAAGCAGGAGGAGGTAAACCAAAACCCTCAATTAAACATTTTGGCATTTACACTTAATTCTTTGACTTGTTAAAAAGGTTGGGAACAACATGAAAGCCATTTATAGCATAACAATGAAAGGAGGCTTAGTACTACTTAATTTTATTTCACTGACAAAGTGCTTTCTATAAAATCCAGCCCATAGGACACAAACATGATCTTGGCCACACCTTGGCATTACTGGTTTGCAGCAATATTTCCCTATCCATTTCTGAAACCTTTTCTACATGGGCTCAAACAATAGCAACTCTGGCAAGAATCCTCCTATATACACAATGGAAAAATATCTCTGATCTCCACAAGTGATAAATCAAGTGTCACACTTCTTTTCACAACACCTGAAGGGCAGCAGTCAGGTTGGCTAAAACTCGAAGGACTCTATAATGGCTTTAGTCTTTAGAACAGCAATGCTGTCGGTTGGACTTTTCTCATCTCTGCTGGGATGGGCTTTATCTTGCCTTACAAACTACTTGCCATATTGGAAGAACCTCAACCTGGATTTAAATGAAATGGAAAACTGGACCATGGGACTGTGGAAAACCTGCGTCATCCAGGAAGAAGTGGGGAGACAATGCAAGGACTTTGATTCCTTCCTGGCTTTGCCGGCTGAACTCAGGATCTCCCGGATTTTAATGTTTCTGTCAAATGCGCTGGGGTTTTTGGGCCTGCTGGTCTCGGGGCTTGGCCTGGACTGTCTGAGAATTGGAGAGAGACAGCAAGATCTCAAGAGGCGACTGCTAATCCTGGGAGGAATTCTGCTGTGGACCTCAGGAGTCATGGCCCTCATTCCAGTCTCTTGGGTTGCCCACATCACAGTCCAGGAGTTCTGGGATGAGAACATCCCAGAGATTGTCCCCAGGTGGGAGTTTGGGGAAGCCCTCTTTCTTGGCTGGTTTGCTGGGTTTTCTCTTATGCTAGGAGGGTGTCTGCTTCACTGTGCAGCCTGCTCGGCCTCAGCTCCTGGAGCTTCAGCCCGATACGCAGTGGCAGAAATACAAGATCATTGCAAACACCTGGAAATGAAACACACCAACCTGGAACTCTAAGCCAGCAGGATCAGTGGTGGCTGCTTTTCGGGAGATCCTTGCTCAGCACTGGACTTGGTAGGACCTCCCACTACACAGTCACCTACTGACTGTGCTGTTGATTTTCCAAAATGCCTTTTTTCCCCTTGTGGCTGTTAGCTTCTTAACAAACAATTTCTTTCTAAGACTGGTAAACCACATTTATTTTCTACCTGGAGACCAAAACCAATCAGAACCTAATAGTAATCACATTCATTACGGTACATGGTTATTTTTTCCCAATTTTAAAATAGGCTCAGTGATTGCACAGAACTGGCAAATAAAACAACATAGTAGTACCTATATTTCTTTGAAGGTATTATTCATATGGAAATGAATCATTTTAGCAATTAGAGACATGCTCCTAATCATTTACTTCTTTCAGGCATTTAAAACAACTGACTATAATGAGAGTAAGGTCTCACTGCATATTTATTTAAAATGCATGACACTTGAGTACACTAAAAACAATTGTTGCTTCATCAAAGGCTTTAGAGCTTTGAGACGAGGGGCAAATTATCTCCTCAATTAGAGGCCTCAGTGCCTCCCATAGAGCCTTTGCCAAAGTCAGACAAATTCACTGCCTTCACGCAAAGTAGGAAAATTTCATGTTTTGGAATCATGTAGAATTTGCCAAACAAATATGCTTCTGTGTCCTGTGCTTGGCATTTCATGACCAACCTTCCTGCCTGCCCCTGGCTCTGAGCAGGCACAAGGGGCATGATAGGTCCAGGCTAGCATGTTGGGCAGAGGGCCTCCCAGGATAGCCACCTCCTCCTGGAGCACACTGTGAGCCTAGGTGGCACAACAGCAAAGTATTTACTGAGGAGCCCTTTACTTCCCTTGTGAAAGGAAAATACTTCATCTCTTTATCAGCAATACAGATAGACCATAGAAGAAGTATTCATGAAAAACTTCTGGCTTGGGGAATTCTTCAAGGAATATTTTATATTTGCTTGGTACATGGTTCAAGCAAACTCTTGTGATTGTGCCAATGAGAAAAATTAACTGAACAATAAGCAACACTGAAATAAAGTATAAGGCAATATGTATCTTTGATTTAAAAAAAAAGCCATTTAGGTTTTTTTTTCCATCCACAAACACATGGAAAGTGCAGAAACCAAAGTTAATCTATGTGATGTGTAACTGCATAATTTTACAAACAAGACAAAAAAGAAACATTCAGAATTTAACCTGATTAAATATTTAGTTCAGTCCTGAGCTTTTGCTATTTAATACAATATAGATAAAGCCATAGCACAAATAGATTTTAAATTTATTTGATTTGCATGCTACAGAGATTCAACTAAACTTGTTCATTTGGCTAGTAATACTCTTTTTGTACCTGTAACACTTAAGATTCTGATATACAAAACTGTAATAACATACTGATAATTCAAAGTTGAGACTAAATATTACATTCTTTTTACCCTGTGCAGAATAAATTCTACCTCTTTAAAATAGTATTTATAATATTAAAATTCATATTTGCCCATATGGTTTTGTGATGAATCATTTGAGTTAGTACAATATGATGGGGTTATTAAAAGCTGCCTATTAATACAGAATATTATTGCTGATCTTTAAAGTGTGGAAAAGGATTATATCAAAAACAGTTTGCCTCTCATGTTAGAAATGAACAAATTTTATAAAATGAAACCCAAAACTTCTTGGTCACAACTGTTAACTACCAGCCAGAGACAGATTTTATTCTTTAATACCTGTCTGAAACTTTTTGTATTACAAAAAGTTAAGTTAATTTGATGAAGATTTATAAAGCTGTAAATACTCCAATATAGCCTCTTCTATGTCAAACATTTAAAGTGGCCAGAACCAAACTATATATTAAACAGAACATAAATAAGACCGTAAATAAATAAATGAAGAAAATAAAATCGTATGGTAGAACTACACACAATTCTATAAACATTTTCATGGTCAGACTAAGAAGCTGATAACAGCTGACCTTCATTTAACTCTACATTAAATAAACTTCTGTCTTTCACATTTAATGTCAACAAGGAAGAAGAGTATTCTTTTTCTAGTTTTCCTTAGTCATCCAACAGAACCAACTAGGCTGACTTTTGTTCAAAGCAGTGTCAAGTCCAGTTATATTTTCAAAGAAATTTGTATATAGTGAAATGTTTAGAAAAATTAAAATTTTAGGCTCAGAAACTGCTTAATTTGAACTCTGATTCTGATAAAAGAAACTTCCTAATTATGTATAAGTAGTTTTAAGAAAATAAAAATTATTGCAAATGAGGCTTCAAGCAAAAGGAACATATCTTTTTTTCTTTATGAGGTCTATTCCTTTAAGATAATTTTTTAATTTCTAAATAAATTGGTTTAGTTTGCTATGTAAGATGGCTAGCAAAAAACTGCATTTTCCAGTATAACACAATGAGTAATAAGTATGGTTTAAATGGTCTAAATTTTAAGTATTTTACAAACTCAGTATTTATGCTGGCAAAGCTATTATACTGAGGACTTAACTTTTTAAAGAGGTGCCTGCATTGGGAAAGCTAAAATTTTAAATTGGAGGACCTGACATTTTTGTCAGTTTGTATCTTTGAATTCATTCATCCAGGATAGTGTTTTCTTTCTTTCTTCTTCTTCTTTTTAAAAATAACTGCTTTAGTCTATGACTACTTCAAATTAACAATACTCCCAGGCACACTCTTTCCTTTGCTTCCCAATGACTTAACACCAATTATAGATAGAATCCCCTTATATTGAGAGCTGCAGGGTAATTTCTAGTAAATGTCAGAAGTTTGACAAACTTTTTTTTTTTGGCAACTTTGATTCACTGAAGACACAGCTTTCCTCTGTTCTTGGCATCACCACATGTGTGTGGATATGTTCCCCTCAGCATCACCAGTACTGTCTGTTGGTTAGAACCCAAGGCCACACATGCCTCTCCTTGCCTGAATCACCTGCAGACCCTGGAGGAAACCCTGGTGAAGGCCAGAAACTCACATTGAAACCCCTGCAAATTCAGATCAGGTTAGAAGCAGCAGGTGCTCATTTGATGTGTTTTGGGTTAACTGTATTCTCTCTCTGTCCTCACCCTCAATGCTACAGGTTACAAGCTCTTTAGTGTAGTCAGGGGTACTGCTTCTTTTGTGTTCTTATATGGTTGTGCTCAGTATTTCATATTTTTGTTTCCTCTAAATAACGATTTTAAGGAAAAAGGTGTTCTGATATAGGTAATGGGGATGAACAGAGCACCTATTTTGGGTGGCCCTGGAGCTGTGCACTCATGTCTGTATTCAGGCTCACCTTCCAAGAAAAGAGCTGTCTTACTTCAGAAATGACACACAGCACTAAGCCCTGTTCACAGTCTGCTCACAGGAAACAAAGAGAAAGCCAAGATTACCTTCTGCTGAGCCCAGCTCAATGGACAGACACTGGCGCTGCCTCTACTCTATTGTACGCAATATGGTCCACTGGCAGCACGCTCGCGCGCACAGACACACACACACACGTGTGACATTTGTGTACCAGATTATCCCATTTTTGATATCTGATTTTTTTTCTTTAAACATATAGGACATTACATAAAAGGTACTTTATAAATTGACATCTGGTTGAAAATCTGGTGTGAATTAACATCCTTTAAGAGCTGACAGTTATGTTACAAAAACAAAACAAAGCAAATATTCAGTCTTTTGCCCTCCCTAAGAAAGTGACCAGGTGAGAAGCAACATGTCCTGCCATGGGGTCACACGTCATCAGCCGGCAAGGAAGGGATGCTGATCTTTGCTCGGGTGAAATAGGCAATCTTCTCCCTAGAGGTGGGGGTGACAAAACCAGCTTCAATGTAATGCTGAGAACACTGTGACCATTAACACAATCCCACCGACTCCAGCAGTGTCCCCACAGCCAGGGAGGGGCATCTTTTCCTCAGGCAGAACTCCATTCAGAATCCAGGCAGCCTTTGCTTTTCAGGATGGCACATGAAGAGCAGCTACTCTGGACCCCATAAGTCACCTGCAGACCAGGCTGGGGAGGTCCCTTCCGGGGTTTCCAACCCGGGACCAGTTTTAGTCCACAAGGGATTTATATGGATGTTTTTAAACCAGGTAAGAGGACTCAAAAGGGTCAACTTCCCAGCAATCCCAGAGATACGCCCATGGTATTAGGGAAATTGTTTAAGTCAGCATCATGCTAATGCAGGGACCCCCTGGCAAGTGATGACTCAAATTCAGAGGGAAAAGAGGCACTGGACTACCTTAAAGGGAAAAACTGCCCTGCATCCCACAGCTGAGATAAGAAGTCACTGAAAAGGAGAAGCTGGGAAGGATGGGGCAGAATAGTTGTCACATTTGGAGAGTTCTAGAAACAGTAAGATTTTAGGGTTGTACAATTACCACAGATGAGAACAGTCTACCTATCTTTTCTACAAAACTTTACGTCATACCCAGAATTCAGGCAATACATATGAACCAAGGGCATATTCTAGAAATGAGACCAGAAGAGGATGCTCTGGAGACTAAGGAAAGGCAGAGAAAAGGAAAAGTTAAGAAACTGAGTACATGGGCCGGGGATTCGCCTCCTGCTGCACAAGCGCAGGGACCCGAGTTCGAACCCCAGTACCAAAAAAAAAAAAAAGAAGCTGAGGACACTGGGATGAGAGGGTAAAGTGTTCTTTGATTAGTTCAATTCCACAAAAGACAAGAGAGTCTGGGCATGATGTTGGGGGAGGCCTCAAGGTACACTTAAAAAGATGCATTACTTTTCAGTGCCTACATCTGAGCTAATATAAAGTTCTTGGTTTCTAACTTCTCTTGAAAAACCAGAAGGCCAGGAACTATGGGGCTCCTAGTTCCAGATGAAACAAGCTGCTAGGGTGGGGCTGTGCCTTCACGGCAGGCAATGGCCCATGCCCCATCTGTCCCCAGTCTTACCATCCACCAGGTGCCAGTAACGCCAGTAACCACGCTTACCCCTCACGGTGCCACCATACTTCCAGGACAAAATGTCTTATCCTGGTGCATCAGGCTCATCTTTCTCACTTGCCTGGTGGTATAAATGTGTTTCTTAACAGAAGCTAGGAATGTTTATGCATTCTTTGTTTTGGTTTCAGTAACAACTGGGAGTTGTAAGATTTTCCACACTAGACAATGCTGCTTAATCTTGAAGTAACCCAGGGCATTAAAAGATTGCTGTCACAATGCCACAGTTCTGAACACCTAAGTAACAGTACTCTGCAAAAGTTACAGAAGTGGTGCTCTAGCGGAATGGAGGAAGAAAAAACCTAACTCTCTATTATAAAATGTCTTTAAAAAAATGGAATCATTACCCATCATGCCTGGCTTCCCTTCCTTCCACTTCTGGACTTGAGCTGCCCAAGTCCAGCAGTTGCTCCAATGCTGCCTTCTGGCCTCACCCTCCCCTCTACCCTTTTAACATGATCCCTGCTCCACTATGCTTTACCATCTTCCCCACACTTCAAAACACTGTCCCTTTCCTGGATTTCTCCTACATCAGCCTAAAAGCTTTTTAAAGTCTCCCTTATACAAAGCAGAAGCCAAAACTCAAAAACTAATAACACAAAACCGTATCTGTGGTCCTCCTCTTATTTGACTGCTGGTATAGTACAAATAGCCTCCTCCTCACCCAATCTCAATTCTCTTTGATTCTTTTCTGTTATGTCTGACAGCATCAGTTTCCTCTTCCCACCTGTCTAGCTTTGGGACCACACCCCTCTGGTTCTTCTTTTACCTCTCCAGCCAGTCCTTCTTACATCGTTTTTGCTGCAAGTCTTCAATTGATAGTGGCTAGTAGGCTTCCTTTCCTGAGCACCTCTTCCCATTTTCTGGCCTATCTGTATTGATGGAACCATCATATTGAAGACTCCCAGTCCTTATACCATCCTGACCTTAATCCTGCCTTTAGATTTTGATTTCTACTTATCTACCAGCCATAGTTACCTGTGCTGCCCTACTGGCATAGGTAACCTGGTAGGTGCAAAAGCAGGACTTATTGGCTCACTACAAATCTCTTTCTCTGGATTCTCAGTCTCAAGTCTTGGCCCTAAAAGGCAGCACCGCTCTCCTCCACTCACCTCCATAGATTCTGTCTCCTCTCACCAGTTTCTCCCTGGCCCACTCTCCACAAGGCCTGGAATATCCACTCCCACAAACTTGATCCCTATCATTGACTTTGGGGTTTGGAGACCCCACTGGCTCCCTCACCATCTAGAACCACAGCAGAAACCTTCAGTACAGCACCTGAGGCCAAGTCTGCTCATCAAGCTCACCTGCTAGCAGCTTCACGGCACACCATGGGCTCAGCATTGACCTCTAAGGCTCTGCCCCTTTCCATGCTGTTTCTTCTGCCTGGAGGCTCCACTCAAACTCACCAGCCCTACAGCCTGAAGAACCCTCTATGCCCATCCTCTCCATAATGGATTCAGATATTGCTTCTCTACTATCCCCCCTCTAGTATCTGCAGCCCACCCATGAACAGATGGAGGTCCCTCCTGCTGTTCTCACAGGTCCCCATTTATTCCTGTATTAGCTCTTGTCACATGCTGTCACAATGATCTGGTTGTGTGCCTGTATTCTGTCCCTCCCTGTTCAGGGCCTAGAATAGTGCAAGGCTTCAGGGGTCTAGAGTGAGTGGACAACAAAATCCCAAAGATCTATGGCTTTCCTGCTCTTCTACAAAAGTACCCTCTGTCCTGATAAGCACAGGTGCTAAGGCTACTGAGAATTGAGGATGCTGTCTTCTTGGGAAGCCTGGTTATAATCCTGGCTGTAACTCTGCCACAATGTATCTTCAGAAAGGGACAGACACACAACTGTATATTCACACTGGGGAACAGATCTAATAGTAACTGATATTTCACTGCACTCTGAGGGGAATTCCTGCAGAATTAAAAGACATGAGAACAACCTGAAACCTGTCCCACACAGGGCCACTTACCTGAAGGACTGTACCTGTTGAGGCACCTTCCGGCTCTGCTCCCGAAGCCGGCACACATCCTTGGAGACCTGTCTCATCAACTTCTCGGCATTCAAATCTTGCTTCTGCTCTTCTTTTGACTGCTCAGCCTGTGAAGAAAATAAGAACACAAGAAACCCAGAGAACATCAATTAGAGCCTTAAGGCTTGAAAGAGTGGGATGGGAGCCAGGCAGGTACCTCAGCAGACAATGGTGCCCTTTTCCACCCATCAGGGCTCACTGCACACAGAAGGGAACAGGCACTGACTCAGGGGCAAGTTTAGTTACACTTAAACAGCCTCTACATCTACAATGCATGACTCTTTTATTCCAACTGGAAAATGAAAGAACCCTCAAGAAAGATACTGCAAACTATTTCAAATGCTCTTTCCAAGAAATACCACTGTTAACATTTTGGTGAACACATTTTCTACCCCTTCCTCATCCTTCCAATCCTTTTTGCTAGGTTGGCCATTTTAAAAACTGCTTATTGAGCTGGGCATGGTGGAGCACGCCTGTAATCCCAGCAGTTTGGGAGGCTGAGGCAGGAGTTTGAACCCAGCCTGGGCAATTTAATGACTTAGCAAGACCCTGTCTCAAAATAAAAAATATGAGCTGGAGATGTAGCTCAGTGTGAAGGCCCAGGGTTCAATCCCCAGTACCACAAAACAAAAACAAACAGACAAACAAAAAAACATTTGAGTGGAGTTTATCTACCAAACAATTGTACATGTGAGCACAAAGACCCTTATAATTGAAACACACTCATGTAACATGCACAGGCTGAAATAACAGAAAAAGCATCCCAGGGCCCTGCCCCATACCACCCTTCTGGTCTCTGCCATGAGCATTACCAGCATTCTGATTTCTAAAAGCCAGGCTATGCTTCCTATTGTGTCCTTTGTAAGCATGGAACGGTACCCCAGGCACTTGTTAGGGTCTGATTTATTTTGCTCAGTAATGGGCTTATAAGAATTATACACATTATTACATGGAGGTGCACCTCATAGTTCTCACCTGTATATGATATTCCAATATGTGACTTTACCACACTATTTGTGTTAATGTTGATGGACATTTGGATGTTTTACATGAATACATTTTAAAAATAAAAATGGACTAATAATACTGTATTTCAAGCTGCCATTTCATTTCATTAGTCACCTAATCAAATACTTGTAGACTGCCTTCTAACGTATGGTGGTATATATTAGTGACAAAGAGCAAAAACTCTAGAGTTGCATTATCTGAATTCAAATTCCATTTCTATAATTTTATAGCTATTTGAATTTGGGCAAGTTGCCTGACCTCTCTGTGTCTTAGTTTTTCTATTTGTAAATTGAGAGTACTTTCAAGGGTTGTTGTGATGTTTAAATGAGTTAATATATGTAAAACATTTATAGCACTACCCAGTACATCATTAAATGTATTATTTCAATGTTTAGCTATTACTGTTGTAATTTTTACTATAAGCTAAGTACTATACGAAGAGATAGGAAAATAGTGTGAGCAAAACAGATGAAGAATACTTGGGAAGAAAATAGCAAAGATTAGAAAGTTTATTAACAGTTTAAAATTAATTTAAAAATTAATAAAATATCATTAATATTTTCTCAGGTTAACAATCTTATTTTGTGGTGTTGGATTGAACCCATGGCTTCATGCATGCGAGGCAAGTGCTCTACCACTGAGCTACATCACTAGTCCAATATCTCATTTTCTGGATGCTGATGTAAATGGTATTGTTTTTAATTTCAAATTCCACTTATACACTGATGGTATATGGAGGAGCATTTGACTTGTATATTAACCTTGTACCCTGAAAATTTGCTGTAATCAGTAGAGCTAATTCTTTCAGATTTTATATATAGACAATCGAGTCATCTATGAAAAAAGACAATTTTAACTTTCTTCCCAAGCTGCGTATCTTTTTTTAAATTGAATTTATTGGTACATTTAGGTATACCTTATGATGACATTCATCACTGAGAATTTGTACCTGTACATGATACATCTTGATTCTTATTTTTTCCCATTCCCCTGCCCGCCCTTCAACTCCCCTCCTCCCCATATACATAATCTTTGTTTCCATTTTTTCCCTTCTTTCCTTCAATTTTTTTCTTTCACTTCTTTCCTTTCCCCTGCCCGCCCCCCAGTTCCCCTTCCCCTTTGAACATTTTCTACTTCACAATATCTATTATACATTTTGGTCCTCATTTACACCTTCAGTTTCTCACACCAGAAAAATGACTTGGCATTTATACATGTGTCCTATTTATTTCCCTTCAAGCTGTGTATCTTTTCTTGTGTTATTTTATCAGCTGGGACTTCTAGTGCTCTGGGTAGTTCCTATGTGCTATAACTGATGCTCTGCTCCTCTTATTCTAAATAGCAGAAGCCAGTCACTTTCATCCTTGTCATGACAGACTGTGACCTGATTAATTCAAATCTGCTTCTTAAGGCCATTTTGCTGTACTTCATTTTCACAGGAACTGGAGATTCTTCTAAAGGAGCTCTGGCCTGCCTTGCTCTTCTCTTCACAGAACATTCATATACGGGACTTGCTTACTGTCTCCCCTCCACCACAGAGTGGGAGGGCTTCCAGGGCAGGCACTTTGCCTTTATGCCCTCCTAAGTCTCCAAGTCTCCCATAAAGCAGCACATAGTAGATGCTCAGTGAATATGTGCTGAAGAAATAAATGGATAGGTCTGTGGGAGAGCTAGGTTTTTAGATGACAATCTTAATTTAAAAGGCATTCAAAAGACAAATGATAGAACAGCAACTCAAATAACAGGCACATGGAGAGGGTTTTCAGGGGGAAAAAAGACAAGGGATATTACAGAGAAAAGGACAATGAATAGGCAATTCACAGAATAAATATAAATGTCAAATAAACAAGAAAGGCCAATCACTCTCACCAAAAACAGTGATGCCTTTCTTACCTACCAGGCTGTGCACACTTTGAAACCACGGCCTTTGCACTGAGCTACATCCCCAGCTCTTTTTAACTTTAAGGCAAGGTCTTGCTAAGTCACTAAGTTGCCCAGGCTGGGCTCAAACTTTAGATCCTCCCACCTCACCCTCCCATTGTGCTGGGATTACAGTGTACCACAATGTGGCTGCAAACACTTTAAAGGACAGAAGGTACACATCTAATCCATAACTTTCTACAGCAGTGAGGGAACTGTGCTCTCTGCTCCCCAGAATGAAGCATTCTGAGTCACACTCGTGGCCCTTACCAAGAAGCAGGTGTGTTGGGGAAGGACACTACCAATTTAAGTGAGAGGCTGGGGAGACAGCTCCTCCAGGTTGGGGGTACTCTTCCAGTATGGGTCAGCCTCTCTCCCTGAGGCCTCCATCTGTTTCACTGACAGGATATGAAATGTGGCACTGCTGAGTGGAGACCACTGGTCATGGTGGTGATAGAGTGCTCAAGGAAACGGTTAGGACAATTTAGAATATTGCTATTTGCTCTTGTTGCACCTTAGAGCAAGAATGATCAACTCGGGCCAGAACTAAGTTGTCAGGCACAGGGATGCTTAAGGGTGGGAGCCCACAGCCTGTAATATAAACTGATGGACAATCCCATAATTTGTATCCTTCTGGCCCTGAAAATCCCATTGCTTCTGTGGTAATTTAAGCAGTTTTAAACTTTGGGAGATAAGACTGGTGCTGGCATCTAGGGACTTAAAGATATTGCCTTCCTGATTGCCAGGAAGTCAAGGCCAGGAAGCCAAGGAATAGGGATTTTGGGCTTAAAAGTCATCACAAACACAACATCTTTTGTAAAAGGGAAGGGGGCCAAGAGGTGGAGGAAGAATTAAGATGTGTCATGTACATGTACCTACAAGGAATGTAATCATTACGCACTGCAAACACGTACTAATAAAAAATCCTTAACGATGGCTCATAATCAAATCAATACTGCTAACAATTTTCCCACTAGGAATTTAGTAATTTAGTAATTTGATTTCCCACAGCATGGTAGGAGTCATTTCTCTGTGTGTACTAAGCCAGTACTTTCTGAGGAAAAATGTACAAAGATAAGTATAGAAATGCTTATTTCCACACCATTATAACAGAAAATTTAGGAAATTACCCTTAGTAGGATAAATAGTTGTGATATATTTATGCAGGTTTTATATATTTATTTATATATTAGTTATGTAAAATAATGAATTACAGCAATATTTATTAATATGAAAAGCTGTTTATAATCTATTACTAGAATTAAATGAGGGGAAAAAAAGCATCTTTGATGATCTCATTTTTGTGGAACTCTTCCAAATAATTCCAATCCACAATACACATGAACACAAAAAAGAGTGGAAGGACATACATCCAACTGTCAACAGGGGTCATCTCTGGGGAATAGGATCCCAAGGGGAACTTACATTTTTTGCGTTATATAGTTCTGCATTATTTGGATTTGTTACAATAGACATGTGTTACTTGAATTTAAAACTTTTAAAAATTTAAAAATTATTCAGCAAAAAGTGCACTAAACTTATTTTAAAACTCAAAAATGTGGTGGTACTTTTAGCAAAGATGAGAGTTACAAAATTATTTATTCAGCAAGTATATATACAGAATCAATTATATTCATACCACTGTATGGAACTCTAAGCATCCTACAATGGGCATCCCTGGTACTTTGCTAACAATCATCCCCTGCAATAACTTCTGATTTTTTTATCACAAAAATTCCTTTTTCTAGATTTTTCTACTGTTCCCCTTTTACCTCTCCTTCTGAAACATTTTGTCTATAAAACCAATCTTATTTGTTAAGGAATAATTTTCTTTTGATTACATTGTAATTGATGGGATAGTTACACAGAGCTTGTGAATTTATGTAACTTAAGTTCAAAAGGGCCAGCTGTGATACTTTAATTACTTGGTGAAGTCCTACCTTTAATAAATGGTTGATTCTTCATAAGGCCCCAGATAAGGAAGTACTGGCTTGGTACAATACAGAGAAATGTCTTCTAACACACTGTAGTGTATCAAATTACTAAATTAGTAATTATATTAAAATATTGCTGCTATTCAAATTCTTGGTAAATTACCACAAGAATAAATCAATCTTAAAAGACTCATTTGCTGTGTGAC